AAAAAAAAAAAAAAAAAAAAAAAATCAAAAGTTTTAAAAGAAAACACAGAGTGATAGGTGGAAAAGAATCAAACGGCAGCATTGTACCTTTCTTAGCACAAAAGGTCTGTGTAGCTCAATCTCCAGAGTGTGAAAGGCCCCTATCTGCAATAAAATAATTAGAGTTTTTTGCCGCAGCGTCAAAGCAAGGAACTTAATCAAAAAGATTAAGTTGAATGATACACACCTTTACATGTTCATTCTCCAGGATATTCTTCCCACGAATACGCAAGGCAGAACCTTCTTTGTCATACTCAACATTCTGAAACACCAAATTACTTGCACATTATACAACTTTGGAACGGAATAGACTGACTCAAATGAAAACCCTAGAAATAGCAACTATCTGTTTCCTACTTTGTAGTGACACAACAATTATAACCATTACAGTGGAACATAATTATCAATGTCGCATTTATTGTGATTCGTATGAAAAGGAGCATTGTTATGTGGCAATCATATCGTATTTCATACACATGTTGTATTGATATCCTCAAAATATATCAAACTACCCAAAAATCCTTCATCTTGACCAAATTAGAAAAGGAAGACAAAGAAAAGTCTTTTTTTCATTTTTTTTTCTTTTTATGATCAGTGAAAGACAAAGAAAAGTCTCCTCCGCATCCTTTAGTAAATTCTTCTCTATAGTTTATTGATTTCAAAGTTTATCCTTCAATTTCTTTTAAGACACCTTATGCTGGAAGCTAAGACCAAGTCCTGATCCAAGGCCCACACCCAATCAAACTATCCTTTTCCCAACTTTGGGACAGATGCACTATACTTTTTTCTTTTTTTTGGATAAGGTAAAGTTTATTGAAGTAAGTCAGTGAGAAGCTGGACATGTGTACATCCAAAATAAGTGAGCATTACATGTCGTATAATGAACTAAGGAAGTCAACCATGGAATCCGGCTGTAACTGCACTCAGCTAAATATGTTACTCGGATTCAGAACTAACACTATAAGATGAAATAAACAATTAACAAGAATGTTAAACTTCCCCCTTCACAGCTGAATGATGCGTCTAAATGTTTTCTTACCTCAACTTTAACTTCCAATTTCAGTTTCACTCGTTCAGCATCTCTTCCTCCAGAAGCAGCTTCCCTTAGAACCTTCCTACAGGAAATAACAAGCAATAATGAATGCTTCCAGTAGGTTGTTTTGTGATAAGCCGAAATGTGTTCACAGTCAGCAAAGAGCCGCATAACATAATTTGCTAAAGATAGTTGCTCTCAACATATAAAAGGAGCATTCATCGCTGGCTTTAAGCAACAAAACTAACTATATTATTATCAACCTGAGCAATCAGCTAAGACTCGCAATCTGCCGAAAAAAAATCCAATTTCCTTCTAGTTACATTGTCATTCACAACTTCAGCGTCATAAGAAAACTAGGCAAATTTAACTAAGAATTTACTATACAACTCATATTAGACTCTAATTAACAAATAACTGACGGCATAAAACAACATAATTGCTACAAAAAATAGAGATTTGCAGAACGAGAAGTATACATGTGTAATTTATATAGAACCAAAAATGTATTTGAAAACAACGCCAGAAGCATCTAGAAAACTTTCAAACAAACTGAATTTTGACCTAATTAGCAAGAGACACATATTTAGATTTCATTCAACCCAAAGATTCCATCTTTCATGATTAAATTTATAAAAGTGCAAGAAACTAACATTTTTTTGTAAATTTTATTAGCACCTACAAGATACCAATTGCTCCTTTTGTCCCAATTTATGTGATGGTATTTCCTTTTTAGTTGTCCTAAAAAGAATGACACTTTTGTATATTTAGAAACAAATTTAAAATTTAATCTTCAAATTTTTTCCTTAATTAGATGATTCATAATAAATGTCTGGGGCTTATTTTAGACCACAAAATACAAATTCTTAAACTCAGTGTCCAGTCAAATACCACCATATAAATTGGGAATGAGGGAGTAAACTCATGTATTGAAATTTGAGCAAAATTATATCGGAATTGGGCAAAATTGTAATACCTGACAGTAACAGCTAAGACAGTATCACCTTCAGCTATCAGATTATAGGCAACCCATAAATCATCCGCTTCTTCTGGAATTATCTGTAAAGAAAAAATATGATATTTTTTTTCAAAATATATAATACCCAAATTAATTTGATCGTTTTCTTTAATTGGGGTGTCAAAACATTGCGAAAATTACTTAATTCAATGAAAAAAATTACCTTGACGCTACCAGGGCCATCAGGAACAAGGTCTCTGCGAACAATCTTCATAATTAAGTTAAGCTCAAAACTTATTGGGAAATTCAATTAAAAAAAATCTCTGCGTGTGAAAGTAAAAGAGAGAAAGTGGAATAAAACTCTCTCTTGGTTTTTTTGTAAGAGAAATTGGTTCAGCTGTTGGAAGTTGCAGGTTTTAACGGTTGAGTCTCAGTGTCCTTGTCTGTTTAGGTTTTTAACTTTTTAGCTCGACGAGGGGAAGATTAAAGGCTCGTTTGCTATTAAATTATTCTGGAATTATAATAATACTTGGATTAATTTATTCCATCTTTTTATATAAACCCAAGTAAAGTAGGATAAGGTGGGATATTCTGTATTAAGACTGGAATTAAATTTATACCATATTTGATTGACAGTAAAAATTTATTTATACCATTAGACAAATATGGTATATATTTAATCTCTCACCTTGTGAGTACGTGATTTTTACCCGACTAGAAATACTCCTACAAAACTAAAAATAGGTTTTCCTAAATTATTTTCATTTTTATAGAATTTTGTTGGAATTTCTTGTTAATTGTTTGCATTTAGTTGCATTTTTGTACACATTTAATATTTTAAAATCATGAAAAATACCCTAAAAATGTTCAAAATTTCATACATTGCATTTTAGGTTGTTATTTGCATTTTTAATGTTAAGTCGCTAATTAATTGTATTATTAAAATAAAAATCACAAACATAATGTTTATTTTTACATCTTTTAGCTTTTAATGTTAGATTAATAATTTTCTTTTATTAATTTAGGATTAATCAATTATCCAAATAGTATAAATAGATAATTAGTTTAATTTTACAAATTAGGTTGATTTAGGCTTAATTTAGAATTTTAATTAATTTAATTAGATTTTTAAAACAAAGAAAAGAAAAGAAAAGAAAGAAAAAAAAGGGTCTTTATTTGGTCTTGGTCGAATTGGGCAAAAAGATTTAAGTTGGCCCAAAAAATGTAACCCCATTTCCGCCCAAACCCGAAAAGAAAAAAAAAAACCCGGTCCAGCTTTTTACTAACCAAACGACCCCGTTTTGAATCCCTCTCAATCTTCACCATTCATCCATTTCAATCTAACGGTCCGGAACTAGCCATCCCCCCCCCCTCTTATAACTGCCCTAAACTGACCCCCATACCCCTCAAAGACTCCTCAGAACCCGTCTCTCTTACCCCTCTCATACCTCTCTCTAACCACCGCCCTAAGCCGCCGCCGAAAATCGCTCACGGCGGCGGCGACACCCTAAACCCGCCCAAAATCACACCATATAATCCTCATACCATCTCAAACCTCACCCTACCAATAGATTTCCCAAAAACCCCCCCACCAAATTTGGTGAATCTTAGATCTAGGTTTCCAGAAACCCTAGCCGCCGCCTTACACCGCCGCCAGAAATCGCCCACGGCGGCGGTCAACTTCCAAATCACCTCAAAATCACACCCTACAATCCCCTCTTCATCCTCAACATAGATCCACCATTAGTTTCTCCAAAAATCCCATCAAAATCCCTTAATTTCAGATCTGAAAACACCCAAACCCTAGATCCGCCCCCCTTTTCAAAAGATTTCTTTTAATCCGCCCTAACTAGCTTGTTCAAAGATCCTCATGCCAAGATCTCTCGTCAGGGATTCAAAATTCTAGATGGGTATCTTGGCAAGAGGGTTTTTGGCAACTAGCCCCTTTTTCCGTCAAGTCAGTTCGGTTAGGTATACCCTCGTCCCTCATTTCTGTTTTATTATTATTATTATTATTATTATTATTATTATTATTATTATTATTATTATTATTATTATTATTATTTTATTTTTTACTGATTTTTAGGTGTTTAATCTGTTTGTTTTGATTAGTTCAATTAAAATAGATTACTTAGGATAATTGCCTGATTAATTAATTAAATGCATGTGTTAGTATAATTGTATGTTGATTTTGAGCTAGGGCACCATTTGATCTGCCCGTTTGATTTGGTTCAAAGTTGGGCTTGTTTGTGTGATAGGCAGGCCCAACAATTTCAGTTGTTTGTTTTTAGAACTGGGGGAGTGGTTTCTTTGAATCGGAGTCACACGACCAGCCCAGAACCAGGTCTAGTTCTGAGGAAATTTTAAAACCCTAAAGGGCTAATCTGGGGGTTTTGATTTGAAAGAATTAATAAGAAACTTCTAGAAAGGGACAATTGTCCCAATCTGAGTAGGAAAGGATAAGGATAGGGTTTGAAATATCCAGAAATTAGACAGCTGTCTATTTTCTATTGTAGGAAGGTGCTAGAAATTGGACAGCTGTCCATTTTTTTGTTTTGGAAGATGCCAATTTCCTGATTTTTAGGAAATGCTGGCAGATTCCCTTGTACCTTTCATTCCTATCCTTTGCATTCCTACTCTATAAAAAGGGACTCACATTCCCTCATTTCACACACGTTAATCATCAGCATACTCACTCAAAAAGGCATCTTTGAATATTGATTTTTATTTTCTCTTGAGCTTTTCAAATCAGAGATAGAAACAGGAAAAAAAAAAGTTCTCAAGGCAGTCTTTCCTTTTCTCCATTTTCCTACTGATTTACTCCATTTGTGCTGGGAATTCGAGTTTGATTGTGGGTTCTTTGTTCTTGCTGGTTGTTGTTGTTGTTTTCTGCTACTTGTTGTTGTTTACTTCTTCTCCAAAGCCAGAGATTTATTTTCTATTTTTGTCTATCTTGCTATAATCAGGTACTCACCTTAAATCTGAGTTTTTGTTTTGGCATGAATGAGTTAATTTCTTTATTTGTTTCCATGAAATCCTGATTTTCAATCATCATTTGCTAATTTTCTTATGTTTAGTATGTTAATTAGTAGATCTTGGTTTATTTAACTTCTGTATATTTTTTTTGTTTACTTAGTGTTTTGAATGAAGAAAGCCAGAATCCTTTGCTCTACCTTTAGTTCACTTGAACTGATGTGGTTATCTTGGGAGTTGCTGAAACTATCTCATGATTAGCTCGATTATGTTGTAGTTTTGAGTTTATTTCAGATGTTAATGATTTATGTTGTAAACTGTTTGAATATAAGTTGGAAGGTGACTGAGATTGTTTAAGTCTAAACATTAGTTTAAATAGCTATATTCCAGTTAACAGTACCCTGAGCATGTAGTCTCAGTTATTAAATTTCTGTTTTAAGTCTGAATACAGTTTAAGTTTTGTTTAACCATGTAGATTCGGTATTAGTTCAAAAGGCTTTACTATAGTGTTGGTTTGTTGAAGTATGTGGATTTGTGTTGAGTTTGGAATGTAAGGAGGTGGCTACTACTGAGTATATGGCTATGATTTGTTGATCTGACCACCGGTTGGTCAGATCGGTGAACTCTAAGGCTAAAGGGTGGATTTGGAGTCATCCATGGAGGGAGATTAAGCATAAGATTGATTATTAAGATGGAGATTAAGCAGAAGATTGATTATTTGATTATGTTCCGTTCATATTATGAACCATTCATGTGTATATTTAAGGATTTATATATATTACCATCATTGGCGACTGCATTATAATTCGCCAGATCTGTAAATATTAGAATGTAAACAGTCTGTTTTGTTTTAGATTAATTCAAATGGTTCAGATGTCCATTTTCACTGTTCTTGGCATTTTTAATTCTGGAAGTTTGAATGAGTTACTACCGATTTTGTTTTCTTAGCTCTTTTACTTCTATTGTTCATTGTTGGTTAAAAGGAGTAAGCCATCGTTTAGTTATTGTTTTTCTCAAACTAATAATTTGTCTTGTTCCATGTGAGATAGTTCTATAGTTTCACTTCTGTTTTGTTGATTTTGGCCAATTTGTTTCATAAAATTGAAAGCAGTAGTGAGATAGGAAGGCTTTACTTCGCTTGAACAAGACTAAACCATGTAAAGTGAGGCTTAAGTTCCCTTTGAGAGTAATGGACCTGGGCCGAAATCTTGCCAGGCCCAACATCATGCAATGTAAATAGGTTAACTCTTTTTAAAGGCCTTAGATATAAACGAGTTTTCCCAATGACTAAGTTTTGCAATTTATCTATAACAATTTCCATACATCATGACCTTACACCAATCTCAAAGTAGTTTAGGAAAAATAATCCTTGAACATCGTAGTTTGATTTAGGCGCGATTAATAAATCATCGTGGCCATGGGTATGATTCCTATGGCATGGTCACGATACGTAATCCCCAATTCGGGTGTGCATATCATGTGACCCGACCACAACTTCGAATAATAATAAAATAAACATGTTGTAAATCGTGATGCATTTCACGTGGCGCGGTTTGTAATGTGTACCAAAACGACAAGTGTACAACATCGTGACTTGTTCCAGAAATAATTCCATAAATAAATAAAAGCAGTTATAAAATGCACAATACGTTTTAAAACTCGTATTAAATCAGATAATTAGGCCAATTATTAATAGTTAAGCGACCGTGCTAAAATCACGGAACTCGGGAGTGCCTCACCTTATTATTCCAAGTGGCGACTCTAAAATTAAATAAATAATCTCATATCGAATAATCTCACTTAAATTGGAAAAACTCCCTATCCCTCTCAGAAAAAGGAAGTGTGACAGCTCTGGCAACTCTGCCGAGGAACGAACCCAGAACCTCTGGTTCAGGGTTCAGAATTCGAGCTTAGAATAACTGTTATACTTGATTTTTATTTATTATCTGATTTTTACGTGTTTGGGCCTAATGTTGGCGCTTTTTACCGCTTTGATATTGTTTGAACTATATATAAACTGTTACTAAACCCTTCTTCTCTCTAAATCTTCTAAATCTTCTGGGAAGTGCACGCTGGCGTGACTTCTTTTCTGTTAGTGTCATATCCTTAATTTAGAACGAGGTTCGGACAAGTTGCAAAGCCGGATGATCTTTTGGTTACCGGTACGCTGCCCCCTTTTCAGCTCGAGTTGTCCGCTCGGATAAGCCAAGTCTAGAACAAAACACCCAGATTTTAAACCTAGAATAACATAGCCTCATGCCAGATCCCTAGTAGGAACGCTTGTTTGCATCACGTGCATTTGACTTTGTGGACTCAACACAGGGGTTGAGTCCGTCTAGGACAGGTGTACCCGAAATAAAAAGTCCATCTTGATGCATTTTACGTGCTACTTGTGCATTTATTTGCTTCGGCTTGCATGTTGACCGGCTTCTAGAATAGGGAAGAAAAATTAAGAAAAACCAAGATTGAGGTAGGAGAGAGAAAATCATCCGTCTCTGAAAACCATGGTGTTCAA